TGAGTCGATAATTAGAAGTCAACCTCCACAGCCATTTGAGTTTAAGGTAGATATCGCAAAATTTAGTTTCTCTATATTTATTTAAAGCAGATAAACGTCTTTTATACTGCTTCATGTTTAAGGATCCTGCTATTATAAGCAACCAAACGTCGCATTGGAGCGGACATCTACAACCTAATAAGTGGTCTGATATTTATATGGCATCTCAACATTATAATAACCACAATTCAGCAGAGATGCGAAATAGCGATTTGGGCACATTTATTGTTAATCGATCTTTAAAGTCATTTGTATATCCTGAAACTGTAATCTTTTCCCATATTTTCCAGTATCAACGAATGGAAATGAGAGCGAAGAAAAATCGTCTTTTAAGGATAGACATGATATTGTCACCAAAAACTATGTGAAACCTGTAATATCCGGATTTTTATTTGTATCTAGCTTGAAAGATCGAGAAGCAGAACAAAGACATGAGCAACAATCTAAGGATCAGGCTGAAGAACCCGAATGGTTCAGTTGTGGCCCAACGTCACGTTTGGATACAATTGAACTGTGCGGTTTCAATGATGACCGACCACGATCGAGAAAGTTTATTGTCGGAAAAGAATAATGATAAACAAGAAGGTTCTGCTGAAGGTGATGATATCAATAACGACGAGTTTAAAGAAAATCGCATTCAAAAAGCTAATTTGGTAAACAATTTCTTATATTTTCCTAAATTGCAAAAAATTATATCCGTATATTCAAATTTTTTAATATTTATTTCAAATTTCGATAGATTGAATCAAAATGGTCATCACACGTTCAAAATAGTACACATTCCAAAAGCCTTAAAAAAAATGAAGTTAACGCAAACGCTCAGGACAAGAATGATAGCGGAAAAAAGGATGCAAGTCCAAAAAAACAAACGCTGCCTTTCACTATGACCAATTCCCAGCAAATAATAAACCATTACGCTCCTTTAATCATATCGGCGGTTTTCAAAACAATGGAGAAAGCGCCGAATCGCGTTATCCATTGTATAACAATAATAGTTCACGATTTTTGCCATTTTTTTGCGACATAAAACGTAATGCCTCTGAATGCGTAGAAAAAGCCAATTCATCAGCCTCGATTAGTGACTTTTTCAAGAATACAATGAAAACACAAAACTAATCTGATCTGCCATTTTTATTCGCCTCTGGCTCAAAATCCAATGTTCAATTATCCCAAATCCCTTCGGTGCAAGAGTTGGAGGCTGAAAACTGTACAACTCATACCAGTCCTAACAAGGGAAACAGTATTAATAACGATGCGAGGGGACAAGATACGGAAAATGTTCGGAAATTTGTTAATCACTAAAGACGACACTCAGGGTATATACAAGCAAACTCCTATTTGCAATGGTGAAAATCTCGCAAATTTGCTGTTTAGACAATCTTATCAACAAAAACCAAGCATTATGCAGTCATCAACGACGATTCATCACACATACAGCAAACACAACTTCTTTTTACAGCACCAGCATCAAGCTGCCCTCTTCGCTACATTGCAACTGAAGGGAATTTTGAGTCGTCCAGAAGCTCAAATGCTGCTGATCGGTTTATCAAAAGGTAAGCTAGGAGTGCAAGGAATGTGTTGATGAATAAGCAAAGAAATGTTTTTAATTTAGGTGAAATTTCTAAACTTGGCTTATTAGTACAACTTGCCAATCCCCGTTTGAGTCAACGCGATCGTGAAGCCATTTATGCAATACTTACGTATACATCTGGTCAACAGCAACAGCAACAAATTCAGCAGACTTCCCAAACCCAAATCGATATGATTTCCAATAATATATTAATAAATCAATTACAAAATGAATTTAATTTTATAAATGGACTTACCTGTATGGACGTTTGTTTTTTAATTGTTTACTTTGGAAATTTAATAATTCGCTTTTCACAATATGTCTATTGATGGATAATTTTTAAATCGTTTACTTTGGAAATTTAATAATTCGCTTTTCACAATATGTCTATTAATGGACAATTTTTAAATTGTTTTCTTTGGAAATTTTATAATTCGCTTTTCACAATATTTCTATTGATGGACAATTTTTAAATAGTTCTTATTGGTTTTTTTTTCTTATCGGTTTTGACATATTCACATAGGAAATGTATTTTTTCATAACCTCAAATGGAGTTTAAATTATCTAAATTTTTGGCACGCACAGAGTCGTATTTAAGGATTTGCATTATCTCTCAAGGTGTTTAAATTGTATAATTTTTATAAGAATAATTTTTCGCATGCATATCGTTATTTTTTAATAAACAAATGATAAAATTTAAAATATAACCGAAATGCATACAAAAAATGAAATAAAGTAATTCATACAATATATTGATAACTTACATTGTTAAAAATTATTTTTTTAATACAAAAGAGTAACGAACCTTTTTTTTACAGTGCTGAAAACAGCGCTAAAATATTATAATAATTTAAGACAGAAGTTAAAATGGCAGGTACGATTTTATTTTTTAATATAATTCTAACAATTTCATTTTATATATATTTTCAGAAGACAAAAAATTATCAAAATGCAAAATAAGTTTCCGGGAAGGTAAAATTTTTAAAATTTTTCTTTAGCTTAGGATGATTAACCTTTTTTT